TAAGTCCACATGTTAAAAAAAAAGGAACATGATTTGATCAAAAAAGTTTAATTAAATTGGTAAGAAACTCTTTTAGAAATCCCCATTGGGATGGTCCATGGCCAAAAGAAATCTAGTTAATAGCAACTTCAGAGAGTATAGCTATACGTGAGTGAACCATTGTGATAACAAGCCAAACAAGTGTATATTTTTGATGATAGATGTAAGCAAATCAAAATTTTAGCCTATTTAGATGCTATCAATTATTTTCAATTCTTAGGGTTTCCCCCTAAACATTAATAGTTTGTTTCCGTGTTACTTTTGCCACAATTGGAAATTTTAATGAAACACGACATATTTATTCTTAGGAACTTTTATCAGAGTTCTGTTTTCGGGATGTTATTATTTGGAATCCATGTTTAGACCTTCCGATTTAAGCATCTGGTTTATCAGAAAGAGATAAACAGATAGTATATATATATATATTGTCACATTCTTTTTCTATGTCCGTCGTTGAACCATATCAATTAAACGGTTGAGACGTTTGTTTATTAACTTTTAACCAATTTACCTACCCCGTTCAAAAACTGCTTCTCAATCTCAAGGATATCATTAAATTCCCAAGATATATAAAAGAATTTGAATTTGACTCATCAAACTTTTCAAGATTTAGAACTTTCGCGAAACAAACAAGGCTATCTTTTAACCAATTTACCTAACGTGTGTGTATATATTACATATGCCAAAGGAATATCCTTGTAGATGATGATCATTTATCATAGGCCAAAGAAATATCCTTTTACCACGTCAATTAGCCGAGGAGGTCAGAGAGCGATCAAATTCACGAATTTTTAAACATGTAACAAGAAACTTTCACTTAAGGTCTGATTGGTTCTCCCATAACTTTATGGTCCGCAAATACAGTGTTTGATGCGGTTATATCATTTCATAACGTCTGTAATCGCTTTACATCAGAAGTTTGTCTACTCATGCGGAACATAATGTATCAAATGGTTTGGTTTTCTTCCTCATCATTTAATTTATTTAACAAAATTAATAATATATTAAAAAAAGAATGAAAAACAGTACTATTTTATGGATAAACGCTGTAAAAAGTATTACATGCCATTTTAGCCTAACATGAAAAATTTGAGTCATGACGTCACGTGCACTTCATCACTACATATTACAAATCTTTTAATAGACTAGTAAAACATTAATTTTTAGAATAAACATCTGCGCTTAGTACGGATTATAATCTAACTTGTTATTAAAAATTTGTAGAAGAATCAGTAGTATTGATAAATAGTCTATTATATAAAACTCTAACGTTGCACATAATGTATATTAATTAATTTAGCACTAGGCGTATACAAAATAATTACGTAGAGTCCCTTAAACAGAAAGTATGAAAATTGAATTACGAATATATAAAAGTCATTCACTCTATGAACAATCATAATTATTTTTGTTGGTTTGTAAGAAGAATATATGGTCAAAAATTATTTTAGTCAAAATTTTGTGAAATAATTGTTGTTTTGAAAGAAAAAAAATAAAGAAAGATGTATAACTGATCAGTGGGTATATATTATGCAGCAGCATATCTTAACGTTTTTGGTGGGAACATCATGAAAATACTATTGACGCCCTGCAAAAACATGTACAAATGCTCACAACAAGCATTGAACAGTGGCACCTTGGTGCACCTGCCGTCAAGAAAACCAAACTTAACTCCAGCAACTCAAACGCCAATCCCATTCGACCTTTCTTGCAATAATCCAAAAAAAGTGAATCGTATTGCTACATGTTAGGGTTTTAGAACCGATGTTAGTGCTTGATCTTAAACTTATAGAGGTGAGTTAAAAGTACAAAAAATATTTGATCACCTAGTTCCCGACATCTAACGTACGTCCGGGGTAGTCTCCCACAAACTTTACCATCAATTTAAAGGTTTACACAAAGGCGATTTTATTTGGCTTCTCTTTGTGTTTCTAGTATAAGTTGTAAATGCTAGTGAGACAAAAATATAGTATAGAAAATAAATGAGTCAAGAGAATTGTTAACTAAGGTTATGTTTTCCTTTCGATAAAAAAGGATTTGGTTTCCCTAGTCTCTGGGACAAAGTATAGAAATCAAACACACCGAAATCAGAAAGCAAATACAACTAATTTGCAAACGCGTAAATCAAGTACAATTTTTTAATTTACAACTATATTTAATAACGTGAGTTATTCAAAATAACTCAATCCTGAGCTACACTCCACCGGAACCTAGACTTCAATTTTGTAGAATCTCTACAACACCACACATATTGAT